AATATAGGAAAGTAGCTTTGGGAAAAAAGATGGGGTTAAGATAGCTAGCTAATGTCTTGTTAACATGACCCAAAACAACATCTGGAAATGTCTTTTATGTCCAAACTAAACAGAGACAATTGAACTTGCTCACCATTTGTATTCATGCCCCAAAGACTATCAGAAAGGTCACTGCCATCAGGTTGATTCTGACCCCTAGTTACCCTCCCTTGGGGTTTCTGAGGCTATAAATTCTAATAGGGGAGTCTGTACATCTTTCTCCCTCAGAGCTGCTTGTAGATTCAAATTGCCAGAGATGTACAGCATTTTGTTTAGTAAGCCAACACACTACAGACAATAGGTCATCAAGTATCTGTCTAAATAATCCCCAAATTATTAAGGGATGCCATGTGTTAGCTGTTTATTGTCAGAACAATGATTTCTGTAATAATCTACATTAAATTTAGGCTAAGAGTAAAAATATATTTGAAAAGAATAACCTTAGATAAGGCATGTGAACAGTTTATCTGAACTAGGTTGAGTTATGGTCATGTGGTTCTTGGCATGTTGTCTTTGTGGGTCAGAATTCATCAGCAGCAAAATGGGAGAAACACAGGCCGTCTCCTCCTGTTAAGATTTATAGCCTCAGATACCCGAGGGAGGGCTGCTATGAGTTAGAGTTAACTGGATGGCTTTGAGTTTGAGGCTCATCAGTGATGACCTCACTCGGTTCTGCCCCATGTTGTTTCTGAACTTCTAGCAGGCTCATGGCATAGGCAACTCCAGAAGATGAATAAGCTAAAGTTTGCCAGGTTGCTTGAATCCTAGGCTTAGAATTAGTACAATGGCCCTCTGCCATATGCTACTGGCCAAAACAAATCTGAGTGACACCTAGATTCAAATTAAAATCAAATCACTTCCATTGAGAATTTGACTCACAGGGACCATCTATCTGTATTCTGAGGCAGAATCTGACTCATAGATGTTACAGGACAGAGTAAAATGCCCCTAGCAGTATTCCGGGGCTCCAAGTCTTGATAGCAGCAGAATGTCTCAACGTCCTCTGGCAGAGGAGATGGAAGACTGGAGCCATCGACCTTCTGATTAGCCAGCCCAAACCTTAACCCACTGTGCCACTTAGGGCTCCTCCCAGATTCAAGGATCCAGGATAAGACCCATTTCTTCATGGGAACAGCTGTTATCTGCGTTATAAAAGGAGTATACAAAGAGAAGGACCAACAAGCAAGGTATCAAAAACTCATTTTGTTCGTTTCAAACTAAATAATCAGTTATAAATGGTGTTTTCTTTCCTCTTATCTGGACTCTAGAAACATGAACACTCAACCTATTACTATAAAATATAACTACAAGAAAACTGTAGTTACACTGAAGGATGTTGAAATTAGCAAGCTGAAATCATAATTTAAGATCAGAAGGAGCTGAGATTATATATATATATTTGAGAGACTTTGGGGGGAGGGGAATGGTAGTAAAGCTACCTTACATATGAATCTGTATTAAGAGGTGAATATACAGCTTACATTTTTAAAGTTTTAATTTATATGTAGTTAGAGCTTACTTTACAGTATTTAAGAAGCTATCTGAAAGTTTTGTTGAAAGAGAAACACCCATGAACCTTTAAAATGAACCATTTATTAAATCAGACTGTTATTCTTAACAGTTATGTAAGTTACATGTATGTTTAAGTCAGAGGATTTCACATGGAAAATTTTTTTAAACTCTTAGAGGCAAGCAAAATCGTACCACACAATATATAACTGGGAAGAGGGGACTGCTAAACATTCAAATAAGGCAAGTATTTAAAAAAACAATAAAACGATAATTAAACAAAAATTCAAGCATTCCTTTAAGAGAATTCAACACTACTAGCTAAATGTACTTTCTGAGTGTACTCATGAAATGAGGCAGTGTTTCTTCTTGTAAAACATACAGAAATGTAATAAGGCTCATTAACAGATACAGCTGCCCTCAGGATTCAATCTCAGTCACTTTCTTGAAATTAAAATTCACAAAGTGCACAATATATATAAAAAAACTGAATTTGCTACTCTAATAACAGCTGTCCATGCTTAATACTTAGTGGTTTATTTGATCAAATTATGTCTTTTCTGGGAAAAAAAATAAGATAAAGCCACTATAAAACATTTAGTTTGAAATGTATGCTAGTATTTTTCTTAGAAATAAAAAAAATGATGGAGGAAAAGGTTATTTATTATAAGGAAAAGAAAGCAAAACACTATAGAGTGACCAGACATTTTCAAAGAACAAGCACCACAAAGGACATTTGCATTCAGTTTTGTAGTATTTATCAATGCATTTTTTCTTACTCCAACCAATCTACTTCATCAAATTCTGAATCATCTTCTGAATCACTATATTCCACAGCAATACGGCGAGACAGGATGGTGGCAACATCATTTTCAATGCGTTCATGTTTAGCTTCCTGTTCACGCTGTTCTTCTACTTTGCGTAGCTGAATACCTGAGGGAGTAAATCCAAACCATTAAGTATTTTAATTATTAGAAACTAATTTTATTAATTTTCTGGAATAAAATCAAATACCAGCAGTTCCGGTTACAAAGAAAATCCATTCTTTGGGAATTTGTAGGTAAGATGGACAATGTACATGTAGGTTATTTTTTCAGCTTTATTTTGAGTCAACACTAACTCATGGTGACTTACAAGGACAGAGTAGGGACTCTGGCAGTGTACTACTGTAAGGTTTATGGTTTGAATCTACCAGGTGTTCTGAGGAAGAAAGAGAAGGAGTGAGTGACCTTTTATAAAGGTTTACAGCCTTCAATAGCTGATGGAGGGTCACTATGAATCAGAACTAACTCCAATACAGTGAGGAGAATAAACTTACAAAGAATCCACCAAGGCGCCAAGGCTGAGGATCTTTATGAAGGCAGACTGCCTTCATCTTTCTTCCATAGTCAACCATTTGCTTAGTAGCAAATGCCTCAGACACAACATGAGTTCCTGCAGTCTTACTTTACGGCAAGAAAAGGTTTGACGGGTTTTTTAGTGATTTAAAAGTTGCTTGAGCAGTGAGTGACGAAGGGTTTGGTTCAATTATTCTGAAGTGAGGAAAATGATAGAACTTCAAAAAGTAAATAGTTGTCAATAACCTTGTAACCTAGTGACTGCCTGCACACATAAGAAATACTAAAAGTAAACTATAAAGCAAGATCTATTAGGAAGAATTTTAAGGAAATATATATACATATATACATATATATATATATATATATATATATACACACACATACACAGAGAGAGAGAGAGAAGCATTAAATCTCTTTCATTTATCATCTAGGATATTAGCTTGATAAAATTTTCAGGGAAAGAAACTATTATTCATTCTATATTCTTAGTTCCTGGCACATGGTAGTTTCTTAAGAAATGCTCAGGGAGTTAATGAATGAATACAGGAAATCTTCTCTTTGTTAATAAAGGAGGAATTTTAACCCTTTAAAGGACATCTGGCAGAGCAACAGTATCACTGGCCCATTAATATAGTCTTAATATTTTAAAAAATATAATTTTAAGTGCATTAATATATCTATCAGACACAATATAAAGGATTTTAATGAAATACTCTGTAACATTTAAGTCTGATATTTTAAATTTCTCATCACACAATTAACCTTTTAAGAATTCCTAGTAAGTATGAAAAGAAAATGATGAAATGTAATATATTTTCCCAAAGATGATTACAAAAGGTAGACATAGTCTTGCTTTGCTTCAAAAGGTCCAATTTTGCAAAAAGATTATATAAAATTTTACAGATGAACAATGCAATACTATCTCAAACATTAAGAAAATGTCTAACACTACTACAGCAACACTATTAATAGACGAGAAATTACCTTTCCGTATTGCTTCCAGAAGTACACTCCTGGCATCGCTGATGACAGGTAGGGTTGATGGATGACGCTTTGGCTCAGAAGCAGGTATAACTTGTGATGGAGGAGATGGAGGCATTAATGGAACATGGGGACCTGGAGCAGTAGATGGAGTTGGATGTAGCCCAGAAGGAGGATGAGCAAGAGCTGCAACTGTGACAGGTGACGATGGTCGGATGCCAGGAGGAGGCAGAGGAGGAGGTGGTGGGGGTGGAGGCAGCCCCTGAACTTCACCTTGTGGGAGTGGATGAACTGGTACAGTCTCACACACTGGGGCAGCTCTAGCTACTGGCGGAGAGGGCTGGACTAAAGGAGGTGCAATTGGAGGAGGAGCTGGGTGAAGAACTCCAGGGGCGATCTGAAGAGGAGCTGGAGGTGGTGGCACTGCTGGAGCTTGCAAAGCAGTGCTTGGAGGTGGGGGTGGGGGAGGTACTGGTGGGGGAGGAGTTGAAGTCATTGAAGCTCTTAATGAAGAAGTTGACAAGGCAGATGGAAGAGGTGGTGGAGGAGGTGGCGGGGTGGGGCTCACAAACACAGGTGTTCTGCCTGTAGCTGGTGACTGAGGACGATTTTCTACTAAACCTGTAGCAGAACTGAAATGACAAGGAAGTCTTAGCAAGTTATTAAAATAAAAAGAGAAAAATCTAATCACACAAATATAAATTACTATCAACAATTATATCAAAGTAGATGCATAAACATGCTTGTACAGAAATAATAAATTCTTCAGCAGTATTTAAAAAGAAATTAGACCTAAAAGTACATCAGCAAGAATATTAATAATAGGTGGTGCTTTAGTCTGTAATAAAATAATTGTTCTCATTTTCTCATCTAACTGTCACACATGGCTCAAGCAATTATGCATAATGTGGTAAATGCTCAATATATTGCAATAGGAGTTTCTGTAATGACTCAATATTTATCACATTATAGTATCTGTAGCAATATTTGTGGCCAATTCAATGCTATATTAATATTGAAACTATTAAAACTACTTCCTGTCACTTCAGTTTGAATCAATAACAAGTTACAAACCACATTAAAGACATTTATGTTCTCTTTCCTTTCTTGATTGAAGGAGGTATACCTAATGAAACAGTGACAGAAGGTTCGTTTTTAAACTAAAGATTCTAAAGATGATCTCTTCTAATATTTGTGTATTATAAAATCAATTTCCATAATTCCTGACAAAATTACAGCTAATATGCATTTACCAAAAAGTTATCAGGACTACATCTATTCTATCTCAAATTCCTAGTACTTCCCCTACCATCACAATAACAGTGAATCACGTTGTTCGTTCTCCTGGCTCTTTAAGGTCATCCTTTTCACAATACGCCAAAAGATTCTCTGTAAATTTATTATTGTATTGCTCATAGTGTCCCTGATAACAAAGTTTTAACAAAATGAAGCCCATTTGAAGCATTAAAGTAAATACTTATTAAGCTGAATTTTTTTAGAAAAGGTGCCAGCTCCTACCAAGGCTGGCAAATTATGGTGTATAGGCCAGACCTGACTCACTCCCTGTTTCTGTCAAGTGTTTCTGAAATACTGCCAGGTTCACTTTTTTATATATAGTTTATGGCTGCTTTCACTTAACAGTTGAATTAAGCAGCTATGATAAAAACAGCATTACCCACAAATCCTAAAATATTTACAATCTGGTCCTTTGATGTGGGGTGGAGGAGGAGGGAGGTAAGGAAAACACTGCTGACGTATGAGAAAAAAGTCCCATGCCTATCTTCACTTACCTGATACAAGTAGGTATGGGTTTTGCATCTCCTGCTCCATGCATTGGTGGAGGTGGAGGTGGTTCGTGTGGTCTGACTAACACCCTTTCCTCAGCTCTAGTCAGAAGCTCACTCATCTGACTAAATGGCAAGGCAGAAAGTGAATAAGATGCATCCATATGATCCACATATGTCTGAGGTCTAAAAAACCCAAAATCAACAAAACACACAGTCTTAGCTGAATTATTCATGAAATGAATTATCTACATGAAATGCTTACGATTTATCCTTTGAGTATCAATATTTTTTTAATTCTTTTTCCTTGTTGCACATTTTCTTCTACCCTCCCTTTTCCTCTTTCCCAACACTCTTCAAATATTAATATTCTAATCACTGCCTAGAAACTTTCTGCACAAAAACAAATAAAATCTCCTTTTATAAAAAATAATCCTGGTTATAGTAATAACCTTTCCTTACAAAGTTAGCTATAAGATATTCA